GAGCCTCTGGCACGTGCCAGGCAACTGTTTCATGGGCTCCCGAAGGCGACGTGCCAGGCAACGTTCCAGGCAACGTGCCAGGCAACGTTAGGCATTTTGGCTCTGGCACGGCTTCGGCGCCGCCTCAAAGTAATACTTCCTGGCCCAAGGTTGCTTCAATTCTCTCATGGCCACTTGTGGTTCTATGTGGGGCACCTGCTTGAAACCCATGTCATTCCTCATACGCTGGCTGCGCGCCTGCCCGGCAATCGCACTTAAAACTGCAGTGTCTGAACCCCCGAACGAATCAACAAGCACTAGCCCCTAACTACATTAGATTCCACATCCTTGCCCAAAACAAGGGGGTCGGCGGCACCCGGGCGTTAGCCCTACTTATATGTCTGATTATTTATTTCTCGTAACAGGGGTCAATGATATTTGCATGTTAATCTATTTGGTTCATTGAAAAACGAAGTTTGGATGGGTCCCAGCCCATTAATTTACTACAACTTCCAAAAAACATGACTTGGCAAGATCGAACCAACTCTTGTTGGACGTTGCAAAGGACAGGCCCAAACCTAGTAGAGGAGGAATCAATTGCAGTGGGTGGGGAAAAATCTTCATTTGATTGAAGGTACAACCAAACCAGGTCCAAAACACTACGAACTTGTGAAAGGTCATCTCCGTCTGATGGCATGATATGGCATGATCTTATCTTCTTGTGGATCAAAATGCAATCCATATCATCCAAGTCATTCGCAACTAGACAAGACAACAGGTCAGGTCATCCGAGGAAAACCAACACACCGAAGATTCAAATGTTGTCCCAACTTGAGCATCTAGCAACTCGTCAACACTTCGTGAGACTGACCACCTGGGATTTACCCGTTGGCTCCAAGGTGGGTACACGAACACGATTGAACACAATGGAACACATCTAAGCTGAAGCATAACAAGCAAGGGTCGGACCCATCTTCATGGCCTTGGTGGACCTGGGCCACCCGGACGATCCCGGGGTCGAAGCTGCCATGCGCTTCATCTTAGACCTGGGCCGCGTTCATGTCTTTTCGTCACTTTTCCTGGGGGTTGGGGAGATCTGGAAGTAGGGCCCAAGCAACGAAGAAGAAATCCATTAGCCCATCATTGGGATGCCTGCTTTACTGCTTTCCATATTTTTCCTCAATAGAGAACCTAGAAGAATGCAACTCTAACCTACCACAGGGCGTCGCTGATGGGGGGGGAGCAACAAAGCTGGTTAGAATGGCTCTGCCAGGCTCAGAGTCCGAAAGGTGCGCCTGCGCGTCACAAGTTTTGAGGTCTTCAACAAAAACTAACTGTGTGAACTGGAGTGCCTTTGTCCCGGTTGTGGTCAAAGCAGCTTTGAGGGGTGTTTAGAATAATTTAGTTCATTCCTTTTCTTTTCATTGTACAATTGTACAGGCTCTTTCCACCATGACAAGAAGGCTTTGTGTAGTTGGGAGCCAGCAAGTCGTCCGCACGACATTGATGGAGATGACGGAGATGGTAAAACGACAAAACCTGTAGAAGCCCAAGGGGTAAAAAGGTAAAGATCCAATATGACACCCTCTGTGCCCCTGACAAAACAACATCTTGGACAAGCCACAATCTGGGGCGCTTCATTGCTGGTGACCCATGACCAACCACCTGCGATTTGGTGTGTATCACGTGTAAAGATTGTATTGGTTTATGAGTTTCTTCCCTAAAGATGCAGTATCCAGCTGTGCTCTCTCATCCAATCTACCGTCTAGATCGCGAGCTTTTCATTGAGGCAAAATGGAGGTTCATTGCAGGCTTTGTGACGCAGAAGGCTTTTTTGGGGTTGGATAACCCACACTGAGCTCCTGCACTTGAAGGGCATCTGTGAAAGACCTGAGTGAATGAGCAAAGCACATCGTCTATGCAGGGTGTTTTCTTCCAAGCTACAAATGTTACTAGTAGCTTTTTGCTACTAGTAGCGATGCACTTGTTACTAATACCGATGCCCTTAGTTACGTACGTTCGTAGCTTCTTGTTATTGCCGAAAGAATCCCCCATCTCCATGGTCGGCAACGATCATTGTACTCCACTATCCCCATCTCTCGCACTTTCTCTGGAACACATGCAAAGAATGCAGACTTGTGCCCTGCCTTAGTCGTTGAAGCTATCCACATCAAACGTCTCTGGCCACCGGATCAGGGACTCTCTTGTAAGACCTCTGGGTTCTCTGCACTTGGATTCTATGACCTGGCTTTCACGTTCCACTTCTTTTGGGGGGGTTCCCAGATTCCCAGCATTGAGCATCACTTGTTCTCCAGAACAAATCAACCCCGAACTCGAACCTCCCCATGATCCAAATCTCCTTTCTGAACGCCCTTTTCCGCCAGCTCGGGAGATCCTCGAACGAAACCTCCGCATCGGATCGCCAACATCGCTCTCAGTTGGGACGTCGTAGTTGGGGTAACCCCCCCGTTCAAGCCATGAACTTCAGGCTCGCGGAGACCTCGGGTTTTTTCCCAGCGAAAATAAGCAGAATGGACGAATTACTAAGGAGATCAACCGACTGAGGTTTGGGGATCCGGCTTTTGACCCACAGCCATTTCTGTCAATCTATCTGATGAAAAGGATGTGAGATTGTCGTAGATTGCGTAGATTGTCATTAACCGGGGATTGTCCTTAATCGGAGAGGTCCCATGTTCAAGCTCAGGTGCCCCTGACCCTAAACATTGGACACGTTGCTCGATGTTCACGTGGCTTTCCCTTGATGAAAGCTCCTTCCACATTTGTAAGGGAAGTAAGTCGGCTGAGGAAACATCTATTGATTGCACTGTATCCAACGCTTGTATCTTAGGTCACCTAAGTCACCTCCAATATATATATATATATATATATAAACATCACAACCACCCTCTTTCACCCAAATGCTTGGACGTGTCTCAGAGTGGACTTTACTGACTGTTCATGTATGTTCTCTTCTGCAGTTCAAATTGGTGTCCCACAGATCCCCATGCACCCCACGTCACAAAGACACCCATGGTGGCCATGTTGGTCGCTTCCGTCGACCCCATGAAGCTGCCTCGATCACGGATGAGGCGCATCCAAGGAGTTTGGCATTCGGTGATGTTCGGTGAGCGCCGCAGGACGTTTTGGTTAGGTATCGCTGATATCGCCTTCATGGATGCCGATGAATCATGATCTTGATGGATAATCTGTGCACATACTCTTCACTATCTCCTTATGGATGGTATGAAACAATTGGACAACGGATGACAACGGCAACAACTGCGCAAAAATGTGTTCATCTTTGGACCATATTTAGCTACATCTTGGGAATCTTATTGGTGCCTCTAGGCACTCACTAGGCATGGTTCCGACATGTGATGATCTTGCCTCCTGCAGGATTCACATCGCCTGGGCCGGGGTAGTGAAAGGTGGGAGGCAAAAATCCTAGAGAGTATATATATATATATATGGCTGCAAACGAATACTTAGAACATCATGTCTTTTCCACAACCCAAACCCTTAGAAGCCTTAGAGTTTGTTTGTTTCCAGATCTGTTGGAGGCTTCATCCTTTTCATCTACAGTAACACAGTCCTTGGACCTCTGTTCAACAACAACCAACTTCGGCACGTCGGAGGGGTTCCCCTCGCTGGCGAAACAGACCTAAAAAAGATAAACATGACAAAAAAACACGGGTGCGTCTGCCTCCTGCAGCATCCTAAACCTCTAGGAAGTCCATGCAGGTCTCGTAGGCGGTCTTGATGCGTTGAAATCGCTCCTTCGCCACCTCCAAGTCGACGCCCTCGGCCTGCTTGTCCTCGCAGAAAGCCCGGAGGGTCTGAAAAACACGTCATTTCTGGGGTTTGATATCTCGATTTGGGACTTGAATGGATTCTATCCTGCCTGGATGGATCACTGATCCGATCGATCAGTTGTTGGTTGTTTTTTTTGGGGGAGAAGAATGAACTGCTGGCTGAGCCTGAGCTCTGAACATGTAGTACTAGGTTGTCGGCAGCTTCCGTAGCTAGAGAAATACCCTGGTGTCTTACTTACAAACAATCGTGGCTAACAGAATGTGATGTGCAACGAAGATCTCCAAGGGAACGTCACCAACACATGCGCTCCCTTTTCACAGGGTGGTGAACCTCCTGCAAAAGGCAAAGTTGTCCAAATGTGACAAGCCCTTCAGAAAAGTTGGTGAGGAGGTTCCTGAAACTGCTGAAAGCGTACGGCGTACGGCCGACGCATGAGTTCAACTTGCAATATGATGAGGGGCCTTTTGCCGCATGGCCCCACCAACGTGCCCAAATCTCACCAATGTTTACACGCCCAAGAATCCGGATGGTACTGCTTCGCAAGCCTGCTTCGATTGAGCGATGTGAGATGTTGGCGCGTGTACTGCAGCCTACAACTAGGCCAAGAAAGCCCACGGCGTACATGAAATCACCAGTGTTTCTTAATTTGGTGGCCTACTTTCAACCCAAATCTTCTGAAACAGACCCCTCAACCAGAGATTCTCGGTGAGAAGATTTGGATTAAAAACAGGCCAGGCCTATTCCAAACCTTGCTGGGATGGTGGACTAGACTAGCCTTCGCAAGTTTGGGAAACAAAGAGATGATTCCGCACTGGATCACTGAAAGCAGTATTGTGTCAGAAGCCTACCAGAACTCTCATTCTCACTCTTTCTTTTGGAGAATCTTGCCTGTGCAAAAGATAGGGAACACGTTGTCTGAAGATGTCTGAAGCCCCTAAACACGAGAGTCATATCGTCTAATAATATAACAGTATGGGTATGGGGAATACCTGGACAACATTGAGGCCAATCACCTTTTCCAGTTATGTCCAATCCCAAGAACTCCTAGCTTCTCCTGAAGACCCTTACTTGCAGAGGCTTGCAAAAAAACATGACCAAACCTCCCTCCCAATGAGACGCTTCCGCCAAATATAAGCCATGCAAGCAGCAAAGCTCCGCAGGCCTGCGGAAGGACTTTTTGACCTTCGGAAAGCGAACTTTTGGCAGCGAAGCAAGGCATGTGGGCTCGGGAAGCGAAGCCAATGGGTGGCCTTTTCAGTTGCATTCTTTTCTAGAAGTTCCCTAGGCGAGGCCACATATTGTCATGTGTATTCATGTGTTTAAATATACATGTTCATTACCACATCCATCTGCGACCTTCAAAGTGACCTCTTCGGCCACTAAGACCAAATATTCTGGACCTGGGATCTCATTCTAGGCCACTTTGAAGGTCCTGGTGCATGATGTTACATGAATCTAAGTCTAGTCTCCAAGTCTCGACGCAAACATTGTCAGTCAGTCTCTTCACTGCAAAAGTGCGGGTTGCTATTTGCCTGCGTCCCTGTTCATATCTCATCCTCTTTGTCGACATTAATGACAAGAAGGCGATTTTGGGCACTGTGTTTGAAGCCATTTTTGTGGAGTGTGTTCTTGTCAATCCCTCGAAAAAACACCTCTCTCACATCGGCTGGGCCTCTTCTTCCTTCGCTGTGGGATCTAACAGCAAAGCACGGAAGGCAGCAACCACCTGGCAATTGGGTCTGACAACCCACTGACAACCGGGTCGTACCTTGTGGGGATAGTCTTGGAGGTGAGTACGTACTTCCAAAGCAAAGTCTTCGGGGCCTTGCAGGACATCCGAGCAATGGATGGTCCTGGACCCTATGGGGAGAGCCATGGCGTGTGCTTCCCAGACTTAACTGGAGTCGGAGTGTGTCTCAAAATGACCGCCCCAGTGGGCCCCCCCCAGTCATTAATGTAATAATGAGATACCAAAAACTTCATGTACAGTAGGGCATTGTTTGGTAATTAGCATGCAAACTCTTGATTAATAAACCCCCTCCAATTGAATTGAACCTCCTGTTCTATCCCTCTCGCTTTCCACGCCATGGTCCCCTTGTCGGCCCGGTGAGAAGCGTCACTGACACACAGGGTCAGACGGCCTAGAGAGGAAACTCCCAGGTGGATAGGTGCTGAACATCCTGTTCATATGGGGGGGTGTATTACTAATCAAGAGTCTACATGGTTGGGATCTGTCCGTTGTTGTCATTCCTTCATGAAACCCGGTGAGACCGGCCTGCGGAGGTGCGGCCTTCGGAGCCGGCGACGACCGCGCCGCCGGAGGGTCTGCACGGGCGCGGTGCAGCAAAGCCAAACGTGAGAGATCCAAACCACGAGCCCTTATAGTGGATGGAGAGTAAATAGAACAATCCCCCCAAGAGGTGGTTTATATGGACCCTCATCTAAAAGACATCTGTGCAGGTCTGTGCCATCTACTCTCAAACCACTGTAAATGGTGTATGTCCATCAGTTCTGAGATGACATGCTGATATCTTCACTGATATCCACTTGGCCCAAGGAAAGGCCCAAAGATGGTGACAAACCTGGTCGCCTGCCTGAACTCACATGATCTTGCCTTTACACAATCTTGCAGAATATCCTTCATACAGGCTTTGCCAGCTTCAGCGTTTTGCCAGCTTCACCTGGCCTGAAATCATGCGAAACGTCTGGCAGAACATTTCAGAGACGTGCCGGGGCCTTCCACACCTCCTTCCCTGTTTGCTACCGCATCGATGATTCACCAGTGACCCTGGGTCACTCTCAGAAACTCACGCTAGTGTGCCTAGCTAGCCGAGAAAAAGACTCACTAGGCTCATAGCCGTCATGAGCGCTTCATCTACAACAGTCTCACCCCAGTATTCAGGTCTCCATAGATCTCAGTGTTTTATAGTAATAAGACATAATAAGACTATAGTAATCAGGTGTAACAAGTTATAAGGTCTGCCATGGAGGGATGAAGGCAGGTTCATCCTTCCGTTCATTTGGCGGCTGGAACGAACTCGCTTCACCCGCCGCCTGGAACGCGACGGGGGATGTCG